GAATAATACTGATTAGAACTTTTAAAAGTATGTGCTCTGCTGCTGTGGAAGCAAGAACTACCACGTGTGCAACAGTATCCTGTGAAATGTTACTTGCTCCATTAGTGTGCACCAGGCACCCACACAAACCCCTGAGACCTGACATGATACCTGTTTGATACATTTGCTCTTTGTCAGACTGGCATTGCCTTTGCTGAGGCTTGTATTAGCTTTGGACAGGCTGGAATTGCCCTTGGACATACTGCTATTAGCATCAGACTGCTGTAAATAGGCCACAGAAAAGGCTTTGTGGTTAGACAAATAACGTTTATTCTTAAGAGTTAACATTCCAAGTTCATGATTTGTTCAGCAGAGGCATTAACTCTAGCATCAGACTTTCCATAGAAGACTATATCATCTTAAGCAAAGCTACAAATCCTAGAAGGTTTATCCTGTTCATCCTCAACATGAATTCAGGCCTCTGCTTATTGCTCTAATGCCAGTGGTGGCAACGGGACCAGAGAACAATATTTGTGTACAATTATACACATAGGTCAAATATTGAAGTTCACATCAGGAAAAAAAATATGTTACTGTAACAACAAAACCTAATCACGACGTGAACGCAATCAGCTGAGACTACTACTACATATAATGATCTTCTTTCATCTTGCGTTACAGAGCCTTTTACCCTTCATTTCGTAAAGAYGATAATCTCTTTGTTACATAGCCTCAAAAGTACTGCAATAAGGGTAGCATTGGAACTGCAAAGGTAAGACTGAAATCTCAGTCGCATCAAATCAAGGAGACCAAGGAGACCTAGCGCACGGAATAAGCAGCTTAGGAATCTGCATTTCTGACAACAGAGACTTTTTATAACTAAATAGACAATAATAAAAAAGTGACTTGGCAAATGATATGGGAACACTTCTCATTTAAGAGATAAGACCACTATAAAGATCTTTGATAAAAGCAGTCTCTAGCAAGGTCTTCTACCCATAACAGATTACTCAACTACAACTACACATTTACTGAGACTGATTTCATAGGCAATCAACATACCTTAGCTTTAGAAGACGGTCCTCCTGCTTTGGCTTTTTTAGGATCTGGCTTAGATTCCATAGTACTAGATCCTGAATCTTCAGCAAGGCCTAAAGAAACATGTGACCATTTCAAAAACCACCATCAAGCTCATTTCAGCTCAGCACAGTTTTTCTAGTCAAAGCACAGAAAACTGCACGGGTACAATAATACTTTTAGTTTATTATGCTTAAGTCAGATTAACATAAGAGAACTCAAGCCTTCGAGCCTCATTTCATGGAGATATCCTCGGAGAGAGGCTGACCAACAGACACATGGAAAGGACAAACTATTGCACAACAACATATAGAAGCTACTGTCATTCATATACATTTAGAAGCTCTTTCCTGCAACTAATGAGCCTACTATCTTGATAAAACTTAATACTACAGTTTTACCTACTACCTAGTCCACTAGTTCCAATATTCTGCTCCTGTAAATAAAATTCCATCTTTAAGTATCAGTTTTGCAGAGTCCATGCTCTCAAGAAAACATAACTGAACACAAAAATTATTTATGCTTCTTATTTAGAAGAAAACAAACCACTCTTTTCTCAGAGTTTCCCGAATTTGGAGAGGTTACCTGATGCAGGTTGGAATTTGGCTGTGGCTGTTCCTCCTCCCACTTTGGAAGAAGCTTTAGCAAGGGGAGCTGGTTTGGCTGGCATGTTGGCTTTGGCTTTCTCAAGCATGGCCAGTACCTGATCTTTGGATGTGGGCTAGAAAGATAAATGAGGCAATATCATCACACTAATACCTGTCACATACACACAAAACAACYGTACTTGAAAACAAGCTATTCTCTAGTTAACATTTTCCATTATACTAATTTAAAAGTATTTATTTTCAGAAATTTTATCCTGAGATAAAACACCTGTCCAATAGTTTCTCTGACCAAACTTATCAGGACTATCATGTAAACCAGCAATTTGTTTTAGGTAACTCTCCACTAGCTTCATTACGACTGATTATTYAAGTGATTCAGCACTCAAGAACCCGTAACATACACATAATTGCCAGAAGTGATCATAAAGATGTAGACAGAGGCAGATAGCTTCTCTCCTAGTTTTTCCATCAGCTATCTACAGACTGCCCTCCCTCCCCACTGCCACCCAAGAAAGAGCAGAGTGAATAAATATCATGTTTCTGAACTAATAAATCTGCAACAGCAACAGCCTTTGAGGTAGAAAACACTTCAACTCACAGTCTCCTGACACTAATGAAGAGCCCCTCTTCTGATCATGCCAACATATACAAACTTACCTGAATCACAACATGACACAAGCCTTTCACTTGTTAACATCTACTTATTCAAGCTCACGTTATTTAGTTTCAGTGACAGCAATACCTTCAGCTTGCCAGTGGCTTTTGCCATCTTCTCAAAGCCAAGGTGCATCATAAAGGATGGCAGGGCATCCTGGGCCTTCTTACGCACATCCCCATTCCGATCTTCAAGGCAGGAATACAGGTGAGGCACACACAAAAGCAGGTCAGAAGGAACAGAACGGAGGGTAGGCAACTTCTCAGCCAGCCAACCAAGAAGCTGAAATAAAATTCAGGTAAAATTTGTTTATGAAGAAGTGCTCACTATGGTTAGAATATCTAACAAGAAAACTCACAAGAGCCTGAATAGTACTCCTAACAAAAAGGCAAGAGTCTCTTTTCCCTGTTTTGTCATGCTCTCAAAGAATAACAAAATTCCAACGTTTGTTTGGACTAAAGCCCTCTAATAGCTTCAATTTTGAGGGGCAGGGAAACTTCTGAGTACAAGATGTCATTTCACAGCTACTTTTAACTATGAAACCTTTTCTTCTTTTTGAAAACAACATCAAAATTACATAGTGCTGCTGATAAGCTGCACCTTATGAACCTCAAATACATTAATGTTTTCAATTCAGTTCTGTTCTTCATCACCATGTGGCTGATTTGAGGGAAAACATATTTTGAGCATCTCCTAAGATGCTGCTCAAAATAGGCTCAATTTTTTATTTGGATAGCACTGAAATTTGAATTAGTTATCATGCTGAAAGACAGCTTGGTTAATATTGTGAGGCTTAATTATGTCAGCGTGAACAYTGAGTTACTTGTTGATTACTCATGTAATGGCGGCTTTATATAATTTCAATTTGCTTAAATATAGCCCATAGCAAATATGGTTATTTTGATTAAACGAACATAAGGAGAAGTTTACRTAACAGACTCCTTTACCTCTTGTCTTAGGAAAGGATTTTCTTTTTTGAGCTCCTCAGAGAGATCCTCGCCTTCCAACCACTCTTTCATGCCAGTTTGTTCAGCCCAGGCATTCACAGTTGCTAGTGCAGCAGCACGAACATTATTCTGTAGCAAGAACAAAATTTAGGAAGAATCATCTTAAAGATGAGTCAGAAGATTATGGGAGAAGAGGTACTGGATTCATCCTTTCAATTAAAGGAAAAAAATAAAAAATAAATTTCCTTACCACAACACYTCAGAGATTCTATTTTTGCTCACTGTTTGAAGAGATGTATGTTATGGAAGAAACTAAATTTTAATGATACTACTAGACTTAAAAAAAATCACTGAACTGGACACTCTGCTTATCTACCATTAAGTCTTATGAATCTAGAGTCATCTTTAAGAGCACTTCGTATCTGCTGCGATTCACTGATAAGGATTTGGGAGTTTAACTCGGAAGAAAACTGAAAAATAAGGTTAGTATCTTTCATACTGGTTAAAATAGATAAGCATTCATAACRAAGGCAAATGGGTTATGGAATCAGCTGTCAGCTTCAGGGCACTCTTATTTAGGTCACAGATAAGGAAAAGTAAATTCAGGAACAGAGGAGCCCTCTACTCTTACCCAGTTTCAGTCTCCATCTTTTTTCAAGGCAGACTCTAGAGCAGCTACTTTCTTTGAAGCAGCTGCTGTGCAGTTAGGAGATGTCAACTGCAACGTTCGAGTTCTTCATACTGCTGACAGTACAGACACGACTGCACAAACCAGACCAGACTCCTATGTAGGCTGAATATTTGAAGGAAGTTGGTGCTATGACAGAGCTTCAGTACGTTTCCTTTACATTTAGAATTGCTCAATTCAGGCACGTGTCTAAATAGGCAACCAGCATTCTTGCTGGCTGCCCCAGATGCTGTCCCATATTTAAAGTCGTTTGAGAAAAAAAATCCGTATCATGTACCAGAGGCCTGCTTCCCATCACTCCTATTTTGTTTGTCTCGATTCATGCTGTAAGTTGTAGGAACTTCCCCAACTACTCCATGAATCCCAGATGAGTACATGTAAGCAGAGCTCAACTAAGAACCCTCCTCTTCATCTTTGATAACTCTCTAGCAACTGGGTAAACTTTGCAGTACTACAAGAAAAGCTACTACTGTAAAAAAGCTTGAATGAGAGTATACAGACCTCTGAGCTTTAGAGGGAGTACAAGAAACCTTTGAATTATGCATTTCTGTAATAGGACAGGATAATTACAAATTAGTCTCATCATTAAACCATATATTTACAACTGAAACAAGTTAGGTGTCTCTTTAGATGATTAGACTAAAACCGAAAACTGAGTGACTGAGTGCCATCTCAGCTCTTTAAGACCTCTAATTAGGAAACAATTTGAATTAAGGTTTTTATCTAGCCATATGATCAGTCCTAGTCTTCCCAATTTTGGGACAGATAAATCAATATCTGCAGTTGTCTTAGAAATGCAAGTGCTGCCTGCTCTACAGCTAGTGAATATTCTCACCTCTGAAAAAATTTCAACTGTAGACAACAGTTCAAACCTGCACTCTTGCAGTTCCATCAGCCGGCTTCAAACAGAGGTAACAAAAGCTCCTGAGCTCAAGTGAGGGCCCTCTGCTCCATTCTGAGCTTTATTAAGTTTCCCCCACACCATGGACTCTTGTGAAATCAGACACCTGTAACTCTTGAACTTATGACTTTTTGTTTGAAAACAGGCTCCTCAAAGAATGATCCAAGGAAAAGGAACTTGATGATACAACAAGCTGCAAAGAGTCCTAGCATAAAACTTGTGCTCTACTACCAACGATCAAGGTGGTGGCTTCCAATAGAAGGGATTGCTAAGACTACGAGTGCTGTTCAGCTACACTTTTGAGTTGATCGGTGTCAGCATGGAGGCAGGCAAATGTTGGCAATCTGGGCTTATCAGAACTATCATGGGCAAACAACGACTGGGTTTACTTACAAGCAAGACAACATACATCAAGCAGAACATACACTCAGGCTGATATTCATATTTGGATTAAACAAGTTCTTAGTTAAATGACGGAGTGCAAGAAATTTTCTAAGCTTCCAAATAAGTTTTCATTAATTTTGCACCTCTCAAAAGCAATCACAAGCAGTATCAGTTATCCTCAGGCACAGCTCAGACAGCAAACTGCCAAAAGGAACCTACCTTACTATCCCCAAGGACTGTGATGATGGGGATACCCAGATTTTTCACATGCTGTTTGATATTTGGGCCCATTGCTGTTGCTAGCTGCTGGAGAATGCTCAGTGTTTGTTGCACCTACACATAAATAAAAAGTTTTGCATAAACTACTGTTAAAAATGACACGCTCAAAGCTCCAAGTCACTTGGGAAAGAACACTACTATGTTTAGGTTTTTACTTTATAATGCCTGCTCAGTTATGCCTATTTCAGACCTTAATTTCATCACACAAGCAATTTTTATGTCAAAAATGAATTCAAATTAAGGTCAAGTAAAAATATTTTCTAAAAAGGACACGTCACTCACCACAAGCAGAGCAATTATTCAAGCTCGGGGAGGGGAGGAGTGCTTTTTAATATTTTGATTACATTACATTTGGAGTACAGAAGCTGACTCTACTCTTCTGTGAAAGCATTTGCACAACAACAAACTTTTATGAAAAGCAGGCAAGCATGCAGTCTGGAAACACACAGTTCACTGGCTCCAAACTGTTGATTACATGACATAGATACTTCAATTAGCAATGGATGTGAATCACACGCAAGATTCAGAACTCCGAAATTTCTTATCTTCAGTTCTAGACTGAGTTACTGGAACAGGACTTTGAGGAACATACCAAGATTTTATTGGAGTCATTGAGACGACTCTTCAAAGCACCTGGAAGTTCCCCTATGTTTGGCTGTATGAACTTGGCATCGTTAATGATGCTTGTCACTTCATCAAGACCTTCCTTCCGGATCTTCCAGTTTTTGTCTCCGATTTTAGACACTAGTTCAGCTGTAATCTTATCTCTGTGAAAGAAAAAAAAAAAAAAAAACACAGTCCATTTTCCTAGTGTTTTGTCCTTTAGCATTTGAATCATTTTTCAATAACACTGACTTCAGGTAGAAAACGTTTATAAACATAGTTTAAGTGTTATATGCTGCGCCAGCCCTATGTCCTCAGTTTACAGAAACCAAACCTACCCAATATCTGTTCTCGGCAAGAGATCCACCACATCATTCACTACTTCCTCCTGTTCTTCTTCCTCAGCATCATCCCCACTGCCTCCGCTGTGCCTGGAAATGCCACGGGTTGGGGCAGGTGCTGTCTGCCCTTGCATCTACAAAACAGTACGAAAGTCAGAAACAGATACTTAAAATTGCTTCACTTAACACTAAAAGAGTGATACCTGCACAATATACGTAAGCTATTACTGGACAACTGACTTTAAAACATTACTTTGAAATAACTTGAACCTGTTAAAAGTCTATCACAAAAAGGGCYATTATTCATAGAGAGTTTTCACCTACTGTGGAGAATAACCTTCCAAAACTCCTTCACATAAACAACAGTTTAGACTAGAATTCTGCTACAGATTCCAGCTACTGATGTTTCCACGCAGTAAGTGACATTCCATTTCAAGAGTACTACCCTTCTTACCTTTTCAAATTCTGCATCTATCTGAGACAGAAGGGCTGGCTTCTCATCCTCAAAAAACATTCGCAAAGGAGGCCCCACATAAAGATACATGACTCCCAGCAAGGTAATGGCAGAGGTCCTTACAGCCTGTCAGAAAGACAGTAAATCACTCAGCCTTCAGATTAACGACTGGTAAAGATTCATGACTAAACTCTTAAATTTACTCACAGGATTCGTGGCAGCAAGAGCTGTCTTCACATTACTGATAAAAGCTTTGACGTTCAGTCTGGAGGGGAGAAGGAAAATAAACACAGACACTCCATGAAATGCAATACAGGAAGCACCAACATGGGAAAAAAAAAGCAATAAACAGATTCATTCCAACAACTTAAAAGCAGTAGATACTAGGACTTGCAAAATTATATCACAGGTACAGTGTAGATGGTAGCCATTTAGAAAGCTACATAAAGATGTTTGGGGGAAATCCCCTACTATAAAAACCCAAGAAACAAACGATAGTTGGTATCTAAGACTGCTAGCACTGAGGTTGAAGCTTCTTATTCTACATTACTCACACGATTGCTAGGACTCAAATCCTGAGGGGTAACTCTAATATTATATAACTGTATGATAGGTGCCTAAAATTAAAAGCCACACTTTATTAATCTTTATCAGGATCTCCCAAGAAAAAAACAAAAAACAAATAAAAAACACACAAAAACCCCACAACCCCCCCCAACACAATTTTCATCAAAATCTAATCTAAAAATACATGAAAATTACTACTGAATCTCCTGCATCACCTCAGAAATCAACGCAAGAGGAAAACATATCAGTTGCTCCTTTTCAGATTTTATGAAAGTTTTGTGTCCCTGCACAACAGAGAAAGATGAGCATAGTTCCCTATACTGGTGTCCTAGTTCCCATATTGTGTTCTAATACAACATCCACACAAGATTACAGAGACATTGGGTAGAAATAAATTTTTTCTTCTCCCTGAATTTATGTTAACATGCAAGACGCCACTGAACAGAGCTTATTTAGTAAACGTTAACATGACCATCCAATTATCATCATCAAAGCAATTCTAACAGGCACACTAACAGCCCAAGTAGTCAGATGAATTAGTATTTAAAGACTTGACAGTTCAGAAGTGTTATCCTCATGGGTAAGCCATACATTAGTGCATCACATTGGCTTAACTGTAGTTAAGAGACTATTGCTTCGGAGAGGGAAAAAAAAGAAATATCRTGGAATATTATCCCGGTTCTATGGAGTCCATTTCTTTTCCTCACGCCAGATGCAACAGTAGTTACTTCGTTAGCTAAGACATCACCTTACCAGTATCAAAAAAACTCYCCCTAGGAGAGCAATAAGCCTGCTGGTATATGCTTTTCCAGATTATTTTACTTCTTTTATGAAAATATAGTGATTCACCAGGGTGCAAATGTCTCCAAGTAGAATGAAAATAAGTGGTGTAATACTAAGATTATTTGTTCATCACACTCCTGTTACATATGAAGTATAATGCTCTCTCAGAGAAAGCATGGCGATGAGTAAAATACCCAACAGTAGTGTAATAACAGATACAGAATCCTACAGCTAGTGTCACTTACTTTGTTTACATGTTAACAGTTAGAACACCTCTAAGAGCTGACATGAGAGTTCAGGCAGAAAAGTTCACATACATTTGCAGTCACCCCAGTCACCCTCTCCAGGATCAATTTAACACAACAGAAGAACAGGTTCTGTCCCCCAAGTAAGAGAAACTTGCATGAAAATATTTCTAAACAGCTTACTCAAAAGGCTTACCCAGAAAATCCAAACTCTTTAATCGCATTTGAGAGCCAGTTCAACGTTTCTGACTGATTTTTAGGATTCTTTTGAGAGAAAGCCATAGCTACAACCTGAAACACAAGAGAATAAACTGTGATTTTTCCCCAGCAGAGTAGATGACAAAGCACTATAACAGAGAAATGAAAATACCGGCTCAGGCAGGACACTGCAGTCAAACACAGACAGATGGGCCAATAAGCAAGGAAAAGGGTTATGCAAGGGTACCAATAAAATTCACTTTGATCGCAATGTACCAAAAGGCAGGCAGATACAGCAGTATCACAGAGGTTTATCTACTTTGGCACTATTTTAGAAAGCCACTTGACAGTTCTACTGTCAAGGAAATACTCCTTATTTCCTCTTTTGGAATAACTTGTATTTAACTTCTACCTCAAGAGATATCTTAAGAGCAGACAAATCTGCTTAAGAGCAGACAAATCTTCTTTAGTTAACACTGAAAACTAGAGGTTGAGGATTTATTTCTCAGACTCAAGAAACAACCTGAATAATATTTCTTTCTTCTAAATTCTAAAGAATTCTTCTAAATTCATTCATTCTCAAGAATGAATGTCTTTCTTTACTGGAAGAATATTGCTTCCATTTACTCACTTGTTCAGCAGTCCATGGCAACTGACATGCCTCTGCTATTGCTGTCATGGCTTCTTTTGCATTGCTCCCACATTTCACATCACCAACTTTGTCTACAAGACCATCCAGCACAATCTGTGCTGATGTTTTGGAGAAGTTTCCTTTCTGTGCTATCAAGGCAACTATATGAAGTTTCATCTGCATAACCTGGAAGAAACAAGTCACGTTTGATGTTTGTTAAGTAACGTCAGAAACAACAAGGAAGATATTCATGTTTTAGTATATTTTGATATRTGTGTATATATACATATACATATATGTGTATATATACATATATTTTAATTTAAATGGCATCATCTTAAGTTTCAGCTCTAAACAGAAATGAACTTATCCTGTAATTGACTACAGGCAAAACTATGGTCACTGTGCTAAGACTGCTGGCAGTGATACATGTGCAACTACGGTTTTCTCAGCTGAAAAAACAACTTAAGTAACAAAAACAGACTGTTAGTTACTGAAGGATAATGTACTACCTGAAAATTGGTTTCCTTCCAACCAGGTTTCTTGGCAAGCATTCTTACTAGAGCCTGGCAAGGCATTTCACTTCTCTCCATCAGTTCTACAGCCTTAAGAATAAACATTAAGTTAGCCAGTAGATCACAAGCTGCACAAAGTAAAACAAAACACTCCATCAAGCACGTGTAAGTTACCTCAGCAGTCCTGTAGGTATATTTTTAATGTAGAACAATTTAGACCCATAACCACACAGAAAAACTGAGGGCACTATATCTGAAGAACCTTGTTA